CATCATCATCATCATCATCACCACTTGATCATACTGTACTGATGTTAACAGTGATAGCGAGGTGATGGTGTCGAAGAAAATGAGTATGTCGATGAGGATGATGATGATAGCAAACATGATGGAGGTGATGATGATAGTGAGGAAGTGGTGGACATGATTTTGGTATGATGATGCTTCTACGGTGATGATGATGATGATGATGGTGGTGGTGGTGATGATACAACCTCTGACCTGTCCATGCAGCTCTGGATTTTTCGACTGAAGTCCATACGTGGATTGAACAGCAGTAGACTCTCCTAGATGGTCAAGGGGTCAACGCAACCTCGAGCAGTTGAGGGCGAAGTGAAAGAACAAAAAGATGATGATGATGATGATGATGATGTTGATGATGATGATGATGATGATGATGACCAGAATGAGGATGGTAATCATGATGGTGATTTGAAGGATCATCATGATGTCTACATGTGCCCCTGAACCCGTGGATGATAACTGTGCCCATGTGCCCGTGTGCCCGGTCTGGGGGGACCAATCTGGAGTAGGTGATTGACAGCACCGTTTGCTAGAAAAGTGTGTCCTTGTGATGTCTTGCAGGATAAGCGAGAGATGGTCAAAGTGAGGACCACTAGACTTAGAATGCTTGAAAATCGCTTGAGTCCAAAAAGTGCTCATCCAGCACCAAGTGTGCTTTCAACACCAGTATGGACTTGGATGATTTGCCGCCAGCTGTAGCTGGAAAAGACTAAAATGACCTATGATGCCGATCACAAACTCTTGTTCTACCTCGCGAGGTAGCTTGAGGTTGAGGACTTTACTTTGAATGGTTTCTGTGTAAGTCTTCTACGCCCACCATTCCTGAAACCAGACTGATTCCATCATTTGCAGTCCGCTGACTTCAAGCAAATTCCGAAATCAATCCATGCACTGAATGCAGGATCCATCAATATATAGAAGCATCCAAGGTCTCAACTCCGGTGGCTTTTCTTTGCTGTGCGGTGCCAAAGGAAAGTGTCCAGCCACTGGCCATCAACAGACCTATGCAATACCCAACGATTTTGTTCCCTTAACGTTACAGGTCCGAATTCGTTTTTATATGTCGAAACCCACGAAATCTGGCTCACCTTGTTGCATTCTACAGCAGCCATGAGGCGTCATGGACTGTTGACCTTGCATCGCTTGTGTGGCACACGCATGGCCACTGCGTACACACGGGGCTTCAGCGGGACGCCCAAGCCTCTAGAGTTCGAGGGATGGGGAGCAGCGGGACGCAAGTTGCAATGCATTGACTGTCACGCAGCTGGAGAGCCTGCACGTGTAGTGATAGGAGGACTGCCAGATGTTTCTGGGGCGACCATGGCGGAGAAGCGTTTGAGGATGATGCAGCCTGATTTGGATGCCTTTCGAAGGCTTTTGCTCTTGGAGCCACGAGGGTATCCATGTCAAAATGCAAATTTTGTCCTTCCTCCCACTGGGAAAAGCACTGCTGCCTTTGGCGTGGTGATTGCAGAGCAAGGACATGTTTATCCTGCAATGAGTGGACATAACATGATGTGCGTTGCCACTACCCTGCTTGAAACTGGGATGGTACCAATGGTTGAACCCCTGACCACCTTTGATTTGGAGACGCCTGCTGGATTGGTCGGAATCCAAGCTCAGTGCCGTGAGGGAAAGGCTATAGAAATCACCTTGCGAAATGTTCCTTCTTTCTGTCGTCCAGAAGAAACTAGGTGCCTCCGTAGCAGCTTTTTGCGTCTTTGAGCAAGCTTTTCCCATTCGGTTCTTATGGGTTTGGCTGAACAACTTGCCCCGGCACAACCCGAGGACATGGATGTGGAAATTGATGTCCCCGAGCTTGGGCCTGTGAAGCTGGACATTGCCTATGGTGGGATGTTCTATGCCATCGTGGATGCCAAGAAGTTGGATTTGGAGCTTTTGCCCCACAACGGACGTCGCATTTGCCGATTGGGGGAGATGATCAAGGTTGCCTGTAGAGAGCAGCATCCAGTGAATCATCCTGAGTTTGACTACCCAGGTTGTGATATTTTGGTCTTCACAGACTTGCAACGAAAGGACCAGGGAAAGATGCTGGGCAAGAATGCAGTGGTTATGTCAAATGGCAGGCTGAGTTGGGACAACCCAGATAGCTGGACTGGAATGATTGACCGTTCTCCGTGTGGAACTGGCACATGTGCAGTAATGGCACAGCTGCACGCTCGGGGCGGGCTTGAACTATCGGAAGAATTTGTTCACGAGAGCATTCTTGGAACTCACTTCGTGGGAGAACTTCTTGAGGAGGTGAGGATTGGTCAGATTGATAGAGTGATTGGTGTACATGAAATTGAGCGGGTTTCAGAACGACAAAAATGGTGCAGGTGCCATAGGTCAGTCAGCTTCAACCAAGCAAACCTAGTCCAAACCAGTCCAAACCATTCAACCCTCCCAAAAGCCACACTTTTGGCCGTACCTCAGGTGACCATCGGACCAACATCTGCTCCGGTGCACGCTGTGGTCCCACGGATTTCAGGTCGTGCTTGGATCACGCAGCGATGTGAAATTGTTTGTGATCCCAGTGATCCATTTCCTCAAGGTTACACAATTGGAGATATTTGGTCAGCAAATGAATAGAGATATGACGATGGAGCTGTTCGGTTGCCGACTTGACCAGAGAAGCGCCAAAAAAGACGACTTTGATGCTTGAATACTTGCAAACAAAGAGAGCATTTGAATATACTGTATATCCTCCTTCTCCTGTATTTCGGAGTCTATGCAATGGGAAACTACTGGCGCAACTGAACCTATCAAATGTCCACTCTCTTGCAATTGTCATGCTTCGCAGCTGCTAGCACAGCATTAGCAGCAGGTGATCCATGCACACCAAATCTGTCAGGGCATGTTGAGAGCTTTGCCACTCAAAGCACTCAGTGGCAAAAGGGATTCTCTACAAAGATCTGACAGGGCTTGCAAGCTATGGCGACTTGAGATTGGCATGCTCTTCCCATGGGAATCTTGGCCAGTTGATCCTTGCTTTAGCAGGGATGTACAGTACTGGCGACGTGTGTTGGATTGAATCTAGATCTTTAAGTCAGGATTAGTTGTCATTGGGCCCCCCAGTTGTACTTTGGTTCTTGGTGTTGTGCATCCAGCACAGCACATGGCAGCTGCTGCTAGCTTGCCTCTCGTTCATCCCCTTTCAAGCTATTCTTGGGTGGTCGTCGTTTGGTCAATCAAAGGTATCATGTTCTGACGCCATGTGAAGATGTTTGTGTCAAATCCAAGCAAAGGGTGCTGGCTGCTGTGCCTTGCACACGAACATTTCATTGTGAACAAACTGGGTTCTTTGCCCCCCAATTATTGATATATATATATATATGTATAGGACTTTTGTCTTGGAGGGTGCCTTCCTTGGCTTCGGTTCTTGTTCGAGGCAGAGCCTCCACCAGAAGCGCCAGCGGAAGCAAAGTCCAAAGCCAATGATGAGAAGAACAAAAAGTCCAATCAGTCAATGACCTGACATGATTCTATATACATGGCCAAAGACAGTACAATTTTCATTTCCACTATGTTTTCACATTTCTTCTGCATGTGTCTGTGCACTGTATTTGATGACTTAGGCCGAATGAATTTCCTGATGGTTCAGGCCTTATAAAGGTCTCTATTTGTCCCTGGTGACGAGACAACGGGTCTGCCAACGTGCCCCCACCAGCCTCAGGCACCCCCGGCCGGAAACGTCGAGCTAGTCGAACAGGGACGGCTCCGAGCTTAAGGGCGAATCAACATTGAGCAATCACCTCCATCGACAAGAGTTGTTTCATGTTGTTTCACTCAACTGAACCTGTGAGTAGTAGTAAGGCCAGGAGCCCCTAGTAGCGTCTTTGCTCCTAGTAGCAATGCCAGGAGCCCCTAGTAGCTTCTTGTTCCTAGTAGTAAGGCCAGGAGCCCCTAGGTAGATTTTGGAAGATGAAAGTCTGCAGTTGGTTGAAAGCTTGATGTGTCTTGCAGTGATCACATTTTTGCTTGCCTGATCAGGCCACACTGCCAGCTGCTCGGCGTCGCAGGACGCCTGGTCCACAGACATGTAGCCTCAAAAGCTAAGAAAGCTGGAAGAACCAAGTTTTTCCCTTTCTTTCATTGCGTTCACTATTTCTGTTTTTGACTTTGGACCTCTATAAACACGTTTTTGTTTTTTGTTTTTCCCCCATTCATTCATTCATTCACTCACTCACTCATTCACTCATTCACTCTCATTCACTCATTCACTCATTCACTCATTCATTCACTCATTCACTCATTCACTCATTCATTCATTCATTCATTCATTCATTCATGCATTCATGCATTCATGCATTCATGCATTCATGCATTCATGCATTCATGCCTTCATTCATTCCATTCATTCATTTCATTTCATTCCATTTCATTCCATTTCAGTCCATTTCAGTCCATTTCAGTCCATTTCATTTCATTTCATTTCATTCATTCATTCATTCATTCATTCCATTTATTTCATTCATTCATTCATTTCATTTATTTCATTCATTCATTCCTTTCATTTCATTTCATTTCATTCATTCATTCTTTCATTCATTCATTCAATCATTCATTCATTGATTCATGGTTCATTCATTCATTCATTCATTCATGCATTCATTCATGCATTCATTCATGCATTCATTCATGCATTCATGCATTCATGCATTCATGCATTCATGCATTCATTCATTTCATTTCATTCATTTCATTTCATTTCAGCTCATTTCCTTTCATTTCATTTCATTTCATTCATTCATTTCTTTGTATTTCTTTCATTTCTTTCATTTCTTTATTCATTCATTCATTCATTCATTCATTGATTGATTGATTGATTCATTCATTGATTCATTGATTCATTCATTCATTTCTTTCATTTCTTTCATTTCTTTCATTTCTTTCATTCATTTCATTCAATCATTCATTCATTCATTTCTTTCATTTCTTTCATTTCATTTCATTTCATTTCATTTCACTTCACTTCACTTCACTTCACTTCACTTCATTTTCATTTCATTTCATTTCATTTCATTTCATTTCATTCATTCATTCATTCATTCATTCATTCACTCGTGTCTGAAACGTGCACCATTGACCTTGCCGCCCCTATTCTTGAGCCGGCTTAGGGCGACCTCTAATTGGCGCCCAGCATCCGGTTGGGCAAAGAGGAGCGGAGCTCCGGTTGCTCGATGAGTTGAAACATGGAGCTCAAGGAATAGGGGATGGATAATATGGATAGCTGAAACCTGCAGGGCTGCGGCACAGGTCGAATTTCATGGTCCTTTGTGGGGGAAGAACTCTTGCCCATCTCATTTCAAAGGATGAACCTTGGGACGTGCCTTTGCTGAGATATAACATGTTGTGCCACCTGACATGAGACTGCAAGGACCGCAGAAGCACCTTCATCGCACCCGGCAACATCAAGCTCACTCTTCACACAGCCGATCTACTCGCACGGCAAGGCCGATCTCTTCAATCCCCGAGACCAGACAGTGACCGACCCCGACATTGACCGTGACCGTGACAATCTTCTTCGTTTGTGAACAGAACTTGCGACCCCAGTGTTTGTGCGTGCTTTGTGAGGTTCCAATGAATTCTGATGGTTTCATGGTGAGGTGCGAGCTGCATATGGCAAACATTGGTTGCTTTAAAAGGAAAGTTGTGGGTTGGGTAGTTCATAGACTGACTCCTTTCCACTAGAGTCTGGAAGAGACCATTCGCTTCCAATGATTGGGTAGGCTTGGAACAGATGCTGGCTTCCGTGGAAGGCCTCAGTTTCATGTTCTCTTACCCGATGAATGTTACTACTGTAGCTGCTTGCTTGCAATTGCTCTTCGTGTTCAGGTGGTACTGTGGACGCATCCTGGATCCTTCTGATGCCCCTAGGATGAAAGACCTGGACACATGAGATGTACCCTTCCTCCAAGTTGACATCACTCAGCCTAACGGCCTTCTTGAGGATGCCTCCCGCAGGCCTTGTTAGTTTTCTTTATATACAAGTTTGGTGGATTCATGATGATTCATATAGGAAGGGCAGGAAGGGCAGGAACCATGGGATTTCTGGCGTTCTCTTTATCCTCTTGCCCAGGTGCCTGGAGCTGCTGATCAATGTGGTCCCGAGGGAGGGCCAAAGACCAAGACGATTCCATTGCTTTGAGCCACTTTCTGTGTCACTTTAGTAAGGCCTCAGTGCCATTCCTGTGCGTTATTTCAGAAGTACTACGAGGCCAGGAAGCAAGATTCCTTCTCAACTCTTGGCATACTCCTGCTAAACCTCGTGCTAGTGACTGTGACTTTGTCATGTTTCACATGCTTGGCAGCCTGATTTGAATGACGATGGCTTCCCTGTCAAGCGAAGTACGCACGTGAAATCCTGCCCTGCACCTAGCATCACTGTTTAACAAGAAAGGCGTGTGACAGTGAGGCGTGGGATCCACACAATTGGATATCATTTTGCTTTTCAAAGAAGATATTCCTACTTTCTCATAATTGTCATGCAGGCATCTGTGAAACTTGCTGTTGCTTAGCAGAGTTGTTGCTGGGTATGGACAAAGTTAAAGCGGTCCTTACCGACCATCCCTCGGTGGACCTGGACTTCGACTGAGGTTACAAATTCTACTGTGGAAGGCCCCGGTTTCACTTCGTTCCTGCTGGTTTGCAAGTAGTTGCTCGGAATCGAACGGCAAGGAGTTGTTTGGGCACAAGATTCGCCGGTGCTTTTTATTTTGTGTCATATTATTATCCATTTTAATGAGGTGGTGACTCGAGTGTGAAAGTGCGCAGGCCAGGAGTCGTTGCCGGTCGGAACCCGAGTCCGCTGTGCTCTGACCAACTCCGGCCTCTGCATTTTTCTCACCTTGTTTGTTTTGTTACGGCCCGCTCCCTACTTGATTAAGCAAGGGAGGTAAGCTACTAGGCTAAGTTAGCTCCTGGGTAGGACGCAGGATAGCTCACGCACTATATTCATTTGGTTCCTAGATTTTTAGGGACACTTGCTAAGTAGTTGGGCAACAAACACAGCTCTGCACACTCTGCACTTCCTGGTTTCTTTGTTTTTTGAGGGGTTGATCATGGTTGACGTGAGCCCCACTGAATGAACCAGCAGATTCCCAGTGACACACTGTTGACCACATTCCCTTGTGAATGGACAACGTTTGGGACATCAGACCATCAGCAGACCATAAAGGAATCCACCCGTTCTTTTAATTGAGGAAGTGGTGGGCAGTGCGGGCCGACGGAAGGGCCCGGTTGCTCAGTGGGCTAGGAGTGACTTGGCCACAGATTCTTGGGCCGTTTTTGATGAGTTCTCTTGGAATGGCCTCCACCTAATAGCGATGGCCTCCTCATGAGTTCTCTTTGGTACAGAGAAAGCTTTGGCGCAATTAGTTGATGAGCCAATGAGGCCTCAATGTCCATCATGTCAGCGTTTGCAGGAGCCACATCCTTAGAATGTGAGGCATACTAGCATGCGATGGCAAAGCTGGCATGAAACTAACTTACAAAGTGGAGTCCGGAGTTGAATGGGATCCTTGAAACGAGGTCCTTTAAGGAGCCGGGGACCTGCAGCTGGAACCATTGGGTGTATTAGTACATAGGTG